GTATTTTATGCACATAAAAACTGGAAAAACGCAAGAAACTAACAATAGTAGTTAGGGGTGTGCGTTTGTGTGTGTTTGTTTATGTGTGTGTCCATGGCAAGGGACAGGTAGTGATGGGAATTGGTTCAATGGAGAATAAAAGTGGGAGTGAGATTTTTCACTGGATTAAAAAATATATGTATATATAACAGCTTTATTGAAATATAATTTACATATCATACAATTTTTTCCTTTAAAGTATTCAATCTGCCAGGTGCAGTGGCTTGTCCTGTAATCCCAGCACTTTGGGAGGCCGAGACTATGGATGACCTGAGGTCAGGAGTTCAGCCTGGCCCACATGGTGAAACCCCATCTCTACTATAAATACAAAATTAGCCAGGCACGGTGGTGCACACCTGTAATCCCAGCTATCAGGAGGCCAAGGCAGGAGAATCCCTTGAATCTAGGAGGTGGAGGTTGCAATGAGCCAAGATCACGCCGCTGCACTCTAGTCTGGGCGACAGAGCGAGACTCTGTCTCTAAATAAATAAATAAAGTATTCAATCTAATGGTTTTTAGCATATTCACAGAGTTGTACAACCACACCACAATCAATTTTAGAACATTTTCATCACACACTTAAGGAGCCTCATATCTATTAGCAGCCACTCCCCATTTCTCCCTATGCTCCCAGGCTTAGACAACTAATAATCCATGATAGATTTGCCTATTCTGCACATTTCCTAGAAATAGAATCATACAATATGTGGCCTTTTGTGTCTGGCTTTTCTCGTTTAGCATAACATTTTCAAGATTAATGCCTGGCTAGTCACAGTGACTCATGCCTCCAATCCCAGCACTTTGGGAGGCCAAGCGGGGAAGATCGCTTGAGCCCAGGAGTTCGAGACCAGCCTGGGAAACATAGCAAGACCCCATCTCTAAAAAAAAAATTTTTTTAAACAGCTGGGCATAGTGGCACGTACCTATGGTCCCAGATATGTGGGAGACAAAAGCAGGAAGATGGCTTGGGACTAAGAGTTGGAGGCTGCAGTGAGCCGTGATTGTGTCACTGTGTCCAGCATGGGTGACAGAGTAAGACCTTGTCTCAAAAATTAAAAAGATTAATGCCTGCTGAAGCGGGTTGCGGAGGTACATGCCTATAATCCCAGCTGCTCAGAAGGCTGAGAGAAGCGAATTACTTGAGCCTAAGAGTAAAGCCCTGTCTCAAAAAAAAAAAAAAAAAAAATGTTCATGCCCTTTTGGCCCATTGTAGTATGCAGCATATTTCTTTCAGTACATCATTCTTCATTTTTTTTTCTTTTGAGACAAGAACTCACCCTATCGCCCAGGCTGGAGTGCAATGGTGCAGTCGAGGCTCACTGTGGCCTCAACCTCCCTTGCTCAAACGGTCCTCCCACTTCAGCCTCCTGAATAGCTGTGACCATAGGTGTACACCACTACACCTGGCTAATTAAAAAAAAAATTTTTTTTTGGCAGAGATGATGTCTCACTATGTTGCCCTGGCTGGTCTCAAACTCCTGGGTTCAAGTAGTCCTTCTGTCTCAGCTTCCCAAAGTGCTGGAATAACAGGCATAAGCCACCAAGCCCCGCCTCATCTTTTTTGTTGTTGTTAATTTTCCATTGTATGACTATACCATATTTTGTTTATCCATTCATTAGTTGATTGGTATTTGGATTGTTTTCACCTTTCCCCCACCCCTTCTTTTTGACCCGGAGTCTTGCTGTTGTCCAAGCTGAAGTGCAGTGACAGAATCTCAGTTCACTGCAATCTCTGCCTCCTGGATTCAAGTGATTCTTGTGCCTCAGCCTTCTGAGTAGCTGAGATTACAGGCACCCACCACCACACCTGGCTAATTTTTTTATTTTTAGCAGAGACAGAGTTTCACCATGTTGGCCAGGTTGGTCTGGATCTCCTGACCTCAAGTGATTGCCCACTTCAGCCTCCCAAAGTGCTGGGATTACTGGCGTGAGCCACTGCCCCCAGTAACTTTTTTCTGCTTTTGGCTATGATGATGTGAAAGGAAGATAAATCTTGGGGCCCCCATATCACTAAGCTAAA